CTTCTCCATTTTCTAAAAGATGAGTTTCTTGAAGTTCAGAGCATCTTATGAAATAAGTAAGAAAATAAAGCAGCCTATGGACCATATCTTGTCGTTTGCCAACCACCACAGTCCTTGCTAACCGTACAGGAGAGCCAATAGCGCCATACAGATCTCCTGCAATGAAGGAACCAGTTAACGGACACTTTTTTACTCACACAATTAAGAGGCTATTTTCACTTATGAGAAACCCACTCTTACAGTGTGAAGACAGTTCACGTTTCACTACCTGTTCTTTAACAGATGTCTGACTATGCAGGACAGCATGGTAAGATGAAAGGTTTTAACCATACAGAAAGGTGAATGGTGATTTTCTAGCTTCTTCTTTAAAGAGCTGCTGTTGCTCTGAATCCAAAGACGTTTCAGGAAGTTACATTTACCAGTCCAGGGATTTAACTCAGTGGCACTGTGTCTTGGAAGTGCAAGGTCCTGAGTTCAATCTCCCATCCAAAAAGAAAATTACATTTACCAGGGATGTTTCCTGTGCCAGGTGGGATGCACAGCATCTTTTTCTGGGTGGAGAAGTACTGTCAGAAATACTAGGTTTCAGGGCCGGGGATTTAGCTTAGTGGTTCTGGCACCTGCCTCACAAGTGCAAGGTCCCGAATTCAATCCCCGGTACCAAAAACAAAAAAACAAAAAAGAAAAAAAAGAAATACTACATTTCTGAAGGTTTCTGAAGCTATGTCTAATGCAGAAAACAGAAAGCACAGTGTCTGTTGGTAGGCAACAAGAGGAATGGAGCCATGGGGGCCAGGAGCACCGCTAGAGGAATCATGTCACTCGTTGCTCTATTTATGCTATAGCTCAAATTAAACCCATAATCTGAGTGCAAAACAACTTAAAACTGGAGAGTACAAAACCATTAGTATAAATCAATTCAATTTTTGCAAGTTGTCAGTATACACCCTTAAAATCTTTACTTTTACTTTATAAAACCTTATACTTTGTAAAGAAATAAACATAAATAGGTCTAAATAAATTTATGCTTTTTTGACAGTACTGTGATAATTTTTTCCTTCTAGCTACGATGCTGCTTAAATATCACAATGCTACTGTTCCAAATCAATCCCAAAATTCTAATTAGCAAATAAATTAAAACTGCTTCGGCATGGCAAGTGAATCTTTTGCGATGAACCCCACTTTACCCTTCCAATTCTATCTTCTTGCAGTTACTCTTTTTCACCTTTATTTCACACAAAGCCCCACTTAAACTATACCACTGACATATGCTTATGGGGGTGCTTGGGACTGAACCCAGTCACACTAGTCAAGCACTGTACCACTGAGCAACATCCTAGTGTGTTGTGTTCTGTTCTGTTTTTTGGCAGTACTGTGCACTGAACCCAAGGTCTTTGCACTGGGCTGGCTATATGCCCAACCATTTATTGTTGACTGAGACAGGGTCTCAATAAATTGCTAGATTGCTCAGACTGGTCTCAAACTTGCAATCCTCCTACCTTAGCCTCTCAGAGTGCTGGGCCACCACATCCAGATTCCAGCCTTTTAAAAATTTTATTTTGAGACAGTCTCCCTGAATTGCTTTAGCAGGCCTGGAACTTGTGATCCTCCTGCCTCAGCCTCTTGATTAGATGGGTTTAGCAGGTACGCACCATGAGACCCACTATGCTTTGTACTCTTTAACACCTGGAACTCCTTTTACTTGTACAACGCACCCTTCTCCCTTATCTCTGCTGGCCCACAGATTTTTGTCCAAGTATGGTCACTTACACAAAAATAAGTTCTCCTTATGAACTCTCACTGAACTTTTCATTTCTATTTCCTCCCTAAATTATCCTTATTGTCTAGATACACATTAGCTACAGTAATAGACTGTCAACCTCTTTTTTTTTTTTTTTTTTTTTGAGACAGAGTCTCTCTATGTCATTCAGGCTGGCCTTAAACTCACTATGTAGTCCAGGTTGCCTTAAACTTCAAGCAGTCCTCCTGCCTCAGCCTCCAAGTGCTGGAATTACAGGTGTGTGCCACCACACCCAGCACAGACTGTCAACTTCTCGAGGGCAAAGACCAGATTATTCATCTTTATATCCACCAGCACTTTTTGCACAGAGCTATGGATGTATTATGCACTCAAAAAAATGACTGTAGAATTAAAAATAGAGGCCAGGGATTTAGTTCAGTGGTGCCGCAGCCTGCCTCGCAAGTGCAAGGTCCTGAGTTCTATCCCTGATAGCCCCCCAAAAAGAATTAAAAATAGATTTCATATCTCAATTTAAAAACTACTGAATTATCTGACTAAAAAAGTTAATATCCACCATTAAATGGAAATGAATTACAAGAAGGAAATGAAATTAAAAGAATCACAACATAGGTGATTCGTAAATATGCTGAATGAATGCAAGAAGAAAGGAAGGTTGGTTGGTTGCTGGAGTTGATAAGCCACATTACAAAGCTACCTGGCACATTTTATCACTACAACAAACTATGGTAAGTTTCTACTAGGTCACCAAAATGTTCTCATCTAACTCTTGTCCATCACCAAATATAAACCAACAAAGAGAAGAAGTAATAGCAGCTACATTTACCAAAGGTTGCTCTTTACAACACATACTATAAACACTTTACATGTATTATCTCACTTAATTTTCATATCTTTTGAAAGTATGGACTATTATTTATCCTCATTTTATAAATAAGGATAGTACTTAGAAAGCTGAGGAAGGAGGCTACACACTAAATTCAAGGGCAGCCTGGAGGATCTGTCTCAAAAACAAAAACAAAAAAAGTATGACTCAAATGTGGTATGTACGATTTCACAGCCTGTGCTTTTAGCACTATGCCTCCTAATGCTCAGAATTTATCAGTCATCTGCTTTCTCCTCTTCCCCATTTATTAGTGGCTAGTACTAAACAAACATTTTCCAAATGACTCTTTAAACAAAAAGTAGTGGAAACCTCAACAACCTCTGCTTATCTCTTAATTAGATTGCTGGCAATCACAGGTGACTGTTGATTGGGTCTGTCTAGGCAAAGCACATAAAAAATGAAAACAAAAAACACTGTTAAACCCCGAAGTTACTAGTAAAGCAGCTCTCAGTCCCCAACTTCTGTTCCACTTGTGGTTCTCTGGCCATGAACACTGCTTTCATGCATAAGAAGAACGAACCATTTAGGAGACAGGAAAGGACAAGTAAAGGAGAGATGCCTGAGAACGAAGGAGGTAAAAGAGGATTTGTGCGATAATTCCTGACAGCTACACAAAAGGCTGTGTAATACATAGTTTACAGACTACGTACCCAGTTGTGCCCAAAGTGGGTTATATGGATGAGTCTTTGCCAACATGTCCACACTCTGAGAGGAATGTTTTTCTAAAAATATTTTTATAGGTGGCTGTCCATTTGGCATGACAGTTGGAACCCAGGCAAGATGATTGGTCAAAACTGCAGTAATGAGAGCTGGCAGGAATCTGAAATAAATACATCCTATCAGATTCCAATCTAACTTCATAAAACCTTATGTAAAATATTTTAACACAGTAAGTACAGACAGTATATATTTTCATTGACCAAATGACATAAAAAAGGAGAGGAGAGAAGAAAGGTGAGGTATACCACCAGGATGAAAAAGAAAGTTAACATTTTTTTCCTTGTGGAGGAGTCATTAAAATAAATCTGTAAAATAAAGAAAATGTTCACAAGGAGCTATTTCCCATCATAATTACCAAATAAAGTGCTTTTTTCATGTGTGGCACTAGGGATTGAACTCAGGTACGGAGGTATATTCCCAGCCCTTTGTATTTTTTATACGGAGACCAGGGCATGCTAAGTTGAGTCCCAAAGCAGGACTCAAAATGGTGACGTTCCCATCTTAGCCTCCTATGGTGCTGGGATAAAAGGCTTGTGCCCCTACGCCCAGCTGAAATAAAATACTGTTTTACTTGAAAAAGTGTAGATTCTTTTCACTGTTTAATTTCTCCAGTTCATTAATGAAATAACCAGCAGGTTCTTACATTTCCAACTTACTGACTGAAAAAAAATGAAGGAAAACTCTGACTACCATGAAAAAAAAATAAAAATGTCTGAATTACTATCTGGATTCCAAAGACCTCATGAAGAGTTAGAAGAAATTAATATGATAAAATATTACACTAAAAGTGTATCCTTGGAATTCTAGCACTTTATACGTGGTCTTTACCTCTTTTCTATGACATAAAATGACTATAAGTGTATAAAATTCACAAAAAATAAGAAACCTCAGAAAATTCTGTAAAGATGTCAGGAATTTAAATTTAACATACAATTAAAGACATTTTTACTGTTTTTCATTCATAAGGTTTTGTAGTGTTCTCTCATAACCTACCATTTATTTTTAGAATACTGTTTTATTACTATGAAAGAATTACAAAGATGTTTCATATTCCCAGTTCTATAATTGAATTTGCTCAAAATCTACATATGTAGTGGTAATTAAAAACAAAAAAATAAATGAATAAAAGAACTCATACTGATTTTTGGAAGCATTTTCCATTAGAAAAGTAAACTCCTTCATGAAACGATGGCAGAGCTGATTCTTTTCTGGAGTCCCTGACATCATCGTAAGCCAGACAGGCTCTCCAATTCGTGGCATTGTGTAAAGATTACAAATTGTTGTTCTAAAAAGAGGAAGAGACAGTACGTAATTTATGGTTTCTCAAACTACATACTCCTAAAGTTTATGTTGCTAGTTTGGACCTTATATCTACTTAAAGTTTTTGAGAAAAGTCAATAAACCAAATCTTTCCTTCTTTGGAATCAGCATAGTAGCATGGGAAATATTTCGTACATGAACTTCAAAGATGTGGTCTATGTCACTCAGTGACTGTATGCCCTAGAATAAATTATTTCTCTAACTTAAGCATCAGTTTCTTATACCTGTAAGATAAGAAAGGACTAAATAATTTCTAAAGGTCCCTCCCTCCAGCTCTAAGATTTTAAAGCACAATCTGTATTTAAGTATACTACAAATAATTAACAACATGTACAAAAGAAAAATATTCTAGGCTAACAGTTAATCCATCTACTCACTCAAAACAATAGTTTATCTAATCATTTCAATGCTCTTAGTTTAATTTCTGTGGGTTAAAGTCATGTATGTTGCATTTTGACTCTCTCTGACCTTCTAGTTTTTCTCAACTTCATTTTGGGTTTTCAACATAATAACTTACTGCATAAGTATAACAGTACTTTCCTAGCTGACTTTTGTATTAATTAGGACAATAGCCAGGCCTGTGACTTGTATTCTCTCCTAAAGGCTTCAAAGCATATTCCAGATATCATTTCTTTTCCTTTTATATCAGCATCTATTCAACCAAGTCTTGTATGCTCACTAGACTAAGCAAATCTGCAAAACCTGAGGTATAAAAACCTAGCAAATCTTGGAGACACTACAGCATGGTTATCCTACCTTCTACTTTTTGGAAGTGTTATCTAACGAAGTTTTGGCACTGTCCAATCTAGTAGCCATGAGCCATTTCTAGTTATTAAACACTCAAAATATAAGCTGTATGACTGAGGAATGGAATTATTATTTAAATAAAAGTGTGGCTGAGGGCTCAGAGCATAGTGGACAACACAGCTCTAGGAAGTTCTTTAAGATCTCAAAAAATTCTATTACCACTGCCTTTTATCCAAAAGAATTTTCTTGCTTGTATATATTTAACTGAATCTTTAAAAAATATGAACCAAATATATTAAAATGAACAGAATTAACAAATAGGAGTCATTTTATTAAGTTCTTACTACAGCATAAAATTATTGCTGATAATTAAGAATGAAAGGCATTTTAAACGAAATTTTTAAAGTTCAGAAAATAAAAATTTAATGTATTTTTCAGAGAAAATATGACAAGACTACAAACTGGGGAAAATTATTAAAATGCTTATTTTTGGGCCAGGGATTTAGCTCAGTGGTGCAACCACCTGCCTTATAAGCACAAGGTCCCAAGTCTGATTCCCGGTACCCCCACCCCAAGCTTATTTTTAAATGCTATTAAGGCCGGGTGTGGTGGCGCATGCCTGTCTTCCCAGCACTTGGGAGGCTGAGGCAGGAGGATCACCACAAATTCAAGCCCAACCTTGATTGCACAGTGAGTTCAAGACCACCCTGAACCCATAGTGAAACCATCTCAAAAAAAAAGAAAGTTATTAAGGATGTTCAAAAAGGATGGAAAACTGAATACGAATGTTTAACCCTTTTTTAGTACCAAGGCCCCAAATGAATGGTACTCTAAGGATTTGAAAATCGATAAACCACTACAACAAACAGAATTGGAGAGGAACCATTACTGAAAATTAAAATTCAGAGATTTTTAAAGAAATTCTAGAAGATAAAACATATGGAAGAATGGTGACTGAAGTAGCAGAGTGGAGAAGCCATGGGTTACCATCTCACAGAGAGGGATACAGACAAAGAGGAGCTTATCTGCCCCACTAAGGAAAAAAGGGGTGAAGGAATCATCAATGCAGAAAGCAGAACCCAAGAATTAAGATACAGTATTGAAAACTAAAAGACTAATTTAGACCCATAAAGGGTTGGTGACCCCTACACCAGCATTCCATTTCTTCACAGAATGATTATAGTAAGGGGGGAAATACAGCAATTAAATATCTCAGATGAATGACCTTCCTAAAATCCTTCCTAATACATGAATCTGTCACAGAGTATAAAGACACACAGAGTACAGCTTGTGTACTATTAAATTTTCATATTGGGGAGTGAAGAGACAACACTTAGGAAAGAAATGTCTATATATGCTCCCATAGGAAGTCATAATGAAAACAGTTGGAGAAATAGTCTCTTAAAGTGAAGCTTTCCAGTCAAAAGCCTGTTGTGAAGATTTGGAATCTCATTCTCAAAGGTACAAATGGGCAACTAAACAAGACTGATATTTAAAGAAAGCCTCCAAGGAGAAACAGAGAACACACACATACTAGACATACAACTCTAGAGAAAACAAACAATGCATAAAATGGAAGACAACGTCTAAATAAAATTCTAATGTATATTCAGAAAGATATGCCAAACGAAATATTTTTCAAAGAAAAAGATCACCTGAAAACAAAGCATAAATGGTGCTAAAAGGAAAAAAATCGTGAAACAGTAGAATAAGAAAACAATACATAAAAGGAAAATATTAAAGAAGAGCAATGCAGGAGTACAAGGGGTTTGTTTGGTTTTTTGGGCTAAGTTTATTATTAAAGGTAGGAAAACAGGCTCTGCAGAGAGAGTTTGGGCCAAGTAAAAAGTACAAAAAGTGCACCCTACAGCATGAGGGCAGGCCACCATGGACAGTGGCCAGGAGTGCTATTTTTTAGTAGAAAGCATTCCAGAGTGAAAAAACAGAAGAAAATAAGTTATCAAGGAAAGCAGAAAATTTCACAGAGCTGAAGAACAAGACAGTGCTATTAGTTGAACCCAGAGTATAAACAGCTAATGAGAGCTGCGCAGGAAGAGCGCCCAGGACTGACTGAGCCCAGCTCTGTCCAGCTGGCTACACCTACTTGCGACCAAGAGCTGGTAAGGACCCCCCGGGCACACCCACCAGCCGCCCATGGAGCCCAGCGGGCACCTACAACAACAGAGCGACCCCCACCCTGCCTCCGGCCTCTTGGCTGTGCAGCTACCTGGTTCCACACTACAGAGGCACAGGGGGCCAATAAAGGGCATTGTCCTGAGCTGCAGAAATGAACAACAGAGAGAGGGCCTCTCTCAGGCTCCCTGATGAAAACTGAAGCCCACTGGAAAAGTGAAGAGAATCTCTGCAGTAAAGGCACACCAGACCACCGTACTTGGTAAGTTAGAAGGATCATCACCTCCCATCAGAACCTGGACTATCTCCAGGGGAAACGTAGCAGAAACCTGCAATAGAAACCTGCACAATTCAATCCTGCAGGAGGATAGGGAGCTCAACTTGGGACTTGCAGCCAGAAATCTTCCTGAATCTCACGGGTCTGTGACTAGCTTACTGAGACTCACTGACTTATATCTGCACATGGCTGCCCATATTGTCTATTGTGACAGCAGAGACATACCCTGAAGGAGGCCCTTCATTTTTATCTTTTATTTGTTATTTTCAAAATTACCACTATTTTTTCGGCTCTTATTTTTAATTCTTTTCCTTTTCCTACTTTTAAAATTTTTATTTCTCTCTCTCTCTCCCTCCCTCCCCCTCTCCACCCTCCTTGCTTCCCCTTGCTGTCCCACATTGTTCTTCATCTCCCTTTGTGTTCCTGTTCTGGCCCTAATTCAGATTTCTTCTTTTTCTTTTCTTCTCTTTTTCCTTCTCTCGCCTGTGTCCTCTGGCCTCACTGCTAAGCTTCCCCTATCCTTCTACCTACCTATCCCTCCTTCCCCAACTCCTTCTAACTCCCCATTCCAAAAGGTAAAGCTGCTATATTGAAGAGTTTATTCACTATAAACATATGCTGGGTTGGTCCTTGATTTTGATTAAATTCACACAGCTAAAGGTGATAGATTAGTAACTACCACAAATTGTCATTTTCTAAGAGGTACTTAATGCTACTGTGTTGCTAACTGTAACACTCCAGCTAAGGTGTTGTGATTGATCTAATCAGTTGTCCTTCCTGGTATAATGAAAATGAGACAGACTCAGAGGCACTAGAAACTCAAAACCTAAAGACCAGCTATATCTGGAAGACACCCCTGAGAAGCAATCATTCCATGAGGGATCTAAATACATCAACAAAGACACTTAAAATATGCAACTTCAACATATCAACCCAGGAACTACACCAAGGACAGTACCAAAAACAAAAATGAGAAGACATTTAAGCAAGTCACAAACTCAGACTTCCACCCTACAAAAGGCAAATTCTGGGGGAAATGAGGTGGAAAAATCTGACAATCAACCACCTGGAAACCCTGAACCCATAGCACAGGAAGTCACAAAACAGATGAATGAGGCTCTAGAAAAATTCAAAGCAGAAATAATCTCCCAGATAACTACAGAGACGGTGAGCAGAGTGAAAGACATGATTAGAGGCTCTAGAACACAAACAGATAAAAAAAAAAAAATAGATGAGCTCAGA